TGACTGATGATATTGAGATTTTCCCTCATCTCTTTCCGCGGATGTAGTCAATTTGATTTCTATGTATTCCATCTGGTGAGGTCCATGTGTATAGTCATCTGTTATGCTGTCTAAAGAAGGTATTTGAAATGAACAAATCATTGGCTTTGCAGAATTCTATCATGTGATCTCCAGCATTATTTCTATCACCAAGGCCATATTTTCCAACTACTGATCCTTCCTCTTTGCTCCCAACCTTAGCATTCCAATCACCACTAATGATTAATACATCCTGATTGCATGTTTGATCGATTTCATATTGAAGAAGTTGGTAGAATTCTTCTATTTCATCCTCACTGGCTTTAGTGGTTGGTGCGTAAATTTGAATAATAGTGGTATTAACTGGGTTTCCCTGTAGGCACATGGCTATTATCCTATCACAGGCAGCATTGTACCTCATGACTGATCTGGATATGTTCTTTTTGACAATGAATGCAACACCATTCCTCTTCAATTTGTCATTTCGGCATAGTAAACTATGTGGTCATCAGATTCAAAATGGCCAATACCAGTCCATTCAGCTCACTCATGCCTAAGATATCAATTTTTATGTGTTTCATTTCATTTTTGACAACTTCCAATTTTCTCAGATTCATACTTTGTATATTCCATGTTCTGATTTTCAATGGATGTTTACAACTGCTTCTCTTCATTTTGAGTTGTGCCCCATCAGCAAATGAAGGTTCCACGGGCTCTCCTCCCACGGCTTTACTCCATTTGCGTCATCATGGTCAACTCTACTTTGAGGAGGCAGCTTTTCCCCAGTCGCATTTTGCGTGCCTTCCAACCTGCGGGGCTCATTTTCTGGCACTATATCTGACAGTTTTTCTCTGCTATTCATAAGGTTTTCAGTGGCTAAATATTCGGAAATAGTTCGTCAGTCCTTCTTCATAGTCTGTCTTCGTTTGGAAGCTCATTGAAACCTCTCCACCATGGATGACCCTGCTGGTATTTAAAATACCGGTGGCCTAGCTTTCAGAATCACAGCAACTCATAAGCCACCACAGGACTACAAACTGACAGACCAGACGAGTGGTGATCTCAATTATGTATGTGAAATATCTAAAATATGCAAGTCTATAAAGACAAAAAAAAAAAAAAAAAAAAAAAAAATGATGGGTACCAGAGTCTGAGGGGAGGGGAAATGAAAAAATAATAATAAAAAGAAACATTGATTAAAAAAAAAACAAGAAAAGCTAGCAGTAGCTGCTCAGATAATTGAGTGAATGCCTCACAGATATTCTTGTCAAATCGGTGGTCCGAAGTTCATTTCTCTTAAAAGTGGTTTCCAGGAGCCCACTTTAAATATAATCCATTGTGTTGATATTTAATAATTGACCAATAAAAGATTTCAAAAGCAATTATTAGGAAGGGAAAAAAAAAGTAAATGGCCGACGCTGGGATTTAGTACAAGCAAAGGGGGAAAAATGTGTGTGGAAGGTGAAAAATATGTGGAAGTCTTAGGAAACTGAGTTACAGAGATTAAGACCTTTGCTTACAGGATCCATTACTGTTGAGAGTCATCGAGTAGATTTCGACTCATAGCGGCCCTGTCCAGGGTTTCCAAGGTGTGGCTTGTGAGTCTGAACTGCCATCCTTGTGGTTCAAACAGAACCTTGCTGTCCAGCATTTTATGCCACAGCACCATACCAGGATTCCTGTAGTATTCTGTAAATGCCTATTTTATGTACTCTTCTCTTATAAAGATGTATTGAAATGTTTGTATCATCTCTTATTAATGATTATTTCACTGGCTTATAATTTGGGGCTATTACCAGTTCTGTTGCAATTAGCAGTCTTACTATGCACATGTGTTTTATTATTACTGAAGTGAAACAAAGTGAAAATTAACAATTTTAAAGTGAATCATTCACTGGCACTCTAGTCATTCAAAGGTATGCAGCCATCACTGCTAAATTTCCAGAACATTTCCACCATTCCACATAAAACTCCATTCCTACTCAGTAAGCAGTTTCTCTCCATTCCCTTTTACTGGTAACCACTCACCTTCTTCCTTTCTCTACAAATTTACCTATTCTAGAAATCTCATATAAATGAGATCATACAATATATATCCCTTTTTATCTGGCTTCTTTCACTCACACAATGCTTTCAAGATTTATTCTTATTGTAACATGTACCAGAACTTAATTTCTCTTTTGATTTGAGTAATACTCCACTGTATAAATGTATTACGTTTCCTTTAGTCATTCATTCCTTGGTGGATATTTGGGCTACTTCCACCTTTTGACTTTGTAAATAAGCACTTGCATTTTTGTGCCAAGCATAGTGACATCCCTGTAAGTGGCATTTCTCTGGCAAAGTGTGTAGATAACTGCCCTAGCACTGTATTTTCAGCCCCAACTGGTAGGTATCTCTTTTTGCAAAATGCTGTTCTCCTCTCCTTTCGTTTGTGTAAAACTTGCTTTCAGAAGGTCTACCTTCTCAAGACCCTCCCTTCCTGCAACAGTGCATAAACA